TCAATGGATAGAAAATTAAGCGTACTGCTTACCGAGGTTCCTTGCTTAGCCGCGAACAAAGGGCAAGTGAGATGATATTCGAGTCAAATTCGTGGAGGACGTGCCAACATGCGCGCTCGATGCTTCGATGAAGACCCTCTCCTTTTGTCCGCCGATCACGTTGGCTATTGAGTCCAACGGCTAATACTAAGCCTCCAGGAGATTAGTCCGAGTGAACGAGATCACACGTGAAAAAAGGGTGTGTTTAGTTTGACTTACGTTTGTGCTGTTTTAGACAAAACCGAGGAAGTGATGGTGTGATTGGACTTTCGTACCCTATTTCTTATCACATGCAAGAAAAATGCGCCTGTTGACCAAAAAATTGTTTGGAATGCCCTAAAAATATCTTCAAACTCCTTCAGCGTTAATTTTTTAATTCATCATAGCTATCGTTTATACTCGTTTTCATCACTACGTCTAAACATGTCTCCTGCATCTGGACAGATTTAGAAGATTTAGTTAGATTTAGACTTCCGAGACTATTTTTGGTGTAGACAAGCAGAGGAGAATTCATTATCTCATCATGTGTTGTTTGCAGCTACTTTGAAGGAAGAAAGTTTTAAAGAATATCACGCAACAAATAAATTTTTAGTCTGCACGGCGGCTGTATGAGTGAGAGGATAAAAGAAAAGTTGATATTTGGTATTCAAATGAAAATTATAAAATCAAAAGACTGTCATGCATCACGCAAAAAATATATGTAAATTAAGTTAACATGTGATCAGGAAATGCTTTAAAGAGTTCGCAAAGAGATTTCACAGATTTCGCACTTTTGTTTGACTTTCACGATAGTGTATGTACATTTTTCATTAGGAGTTATACAAAGCGGTGTTACTCACATAAGCAAAGATTAAGTTATTTATTCGTGTATTTTGTGTTAGTCTACTTTGCTGGCTTACAATTGGCCGAAAACTTAGGCTGGAAACGTCAAAATAATACATGCATATCTGCACGGAATTCAACATCAAGAATTCTGGTCATATTTGTAGCTTTTCAGAGGGATTTAGGTACTAAAATCGCTGAGGACTAATTTGGAAGTGCTTGGAAAGGAAAGATCGTCTTCAAGCAAAGGAAACCGAAAGAAGGTGAATGAAGATTGCGTAGAGAGCTGGTCGTTTCAATATTATTTTCGCCTAAATTAAGATGATTTAGTTGGCACTGTAATAAGTAGCGTCTTCCTGAAACCAGAAAATAATATTGAAGTAAAAGACATGAGAAAGTCCAATCTCACGAGATCTTAATCCGTAATTTATGATTTGACAAATAAAAAACAGATGGCTGGCGTGACAGAACACGCCACCTTCACGCCCTTAACACACCTCTTCTTATTGTCTTAATAGCCAATCAAAATTGAGTTGCAACATCAGGTGGTTTTGAGCACAACGCACTTCAAATTCATAACACGTAATTTCTTTTTTTATCTGAATGTGAAATTACTGCTTTGATAGCCGTTTAAAACTTAAGTGAACGAATCAAAAGACTGCAGAATTCGAAAAGCTGTATTTTGACTACACGAGGACGGAAATTTAAGTACGTTTAGTCTGTTGACTGCGAATGAGCCCACGGCGATTTCATGTGGACAGCACGTGAACAGACATCGCAAAACAATAACAAACCTTCACGCCACACGCGGGCAGGAAAACTGTGTCACGTTGCTTGAAACCATAAAACAATTAGATCGCCATCGTTTCAGGGTTATAGACGAATTTTCCGGAAGAACGAAAGCGTTAGACCTGACTGACATTTATTTGTAGCTTCAGAGAGGCGAACAGAAACTTTCCGCTGTTGCTGATAAACCAGTTTGATAACAGGAAAAATTTGGGCCCATCCGTTCGCAGCTGTCAGTTTCAGTAGTTCCGTCGAAGGAAGAAAATGGAATCTTCAAGGCGTTTGAAAACCGTTGATAACTCTTTCGTGGCTGTCATGGAGCAGTTTGTGAAGACAGTCGACAGAATGGATAACACCGTACTCATCCCTATGAAGTTGATAGATTTGCCTGTGAAAGAGTTAATGCCGACGAGCGGGAAAGACTCCTATCTTCAAAATAACATGAACATGAGAGCTTTCTACTTCATGGTTAAAGCATTGAAAATTAAGCTGTCACTGGGTTACAGTCCGCCGACTGAAAACGATGCGAACATGATTCCCCTTGAGAGAGAAATCCAAGACTCTTGCCAACGGTTAAATCAGCTTACTTTGCTGGCAAGGTACATCAAAACATCAGCGCAAAACCTTGGTCCTAACCATGAGCTGCCTTCTTTCAAGGAATTCAAAGCCAAGACGACATTGGACCCCGAAAACTGCCTCGTGGAAGCTATTAAGAGGTTTGCTGACGAAGTGGAATCTATGGAAAAGTCCGTTTTGTTCCCTCGTCTCCTTGAAGACTACAGTGTGAACGAGCAGATGCCTCAATTTGACGAACAAGCTAAAACTCTACTCGATGTTTTCGTTTTGCTCGAGAAACTTCGCACTGAGTTGCTGTCAGGCTCGCGGAATTTCCAGCTTCCAGACCCGAAACTACACCAAAAACTGTCGGAGTTGTTCCAAACATTTGTGCAGTATACAACTATGGCTAGAAATCTTACGGCTCGTTATGAAGAGGAGGTGCGATGCTTTTGATTTGAAACTGAACTAGAAATAAACGGGCGTTTTTACACGCTCGAAAGGTGCGCCAAATCGTGAAAGATTTAACTCGATTATTGTGCTAATTTTCTAGGCGCTCCTGTGCAAACTTCCTGATTTTTTTTGCGAAGTTGCCAACGATTAAATTGATTTTGTTTAATATTGAGAAAGAACTTGATGAGTTTTTGTAAAATTATAACTCCAAAGATGCTCTTGAATATTGTAATGTAGTATTACTACAAAAATTTTGAGTGTATTTGTCGGACAAGAATGTACAGAGAAGTTGCCGTACAAAGTTTCGCAAGAAGTTGTAAAGATTGTTGTTTATAACACGTTAGTAAGTGTAAATTTATAGTTTAAGCAGAAAGGATGCTTGTATGCATACCGTAGAGGTAATGCAACGAAAATAAATTCTTTTCAAAGGTAAATCTATGTTTATTTATGAACCGAAATTATGAATAAGTAATTACGTAATCTTCAATGTATGTTAGCAACTGTTTGCCACATAAATCGCCAAACACGGAAAGAAATATTTTTCACCAAGAGAAAGATCCTGTTTCTTCACAGGATACGTTTAAATTAAAAAATTTCGGGTTGGGCGGACAATTACGTAAATTATCAGGCCCAATATGGCCCAATTTAGAAGATGACAAATGCTTCCTTGTGTGGAGGTGAATTGTTTACTTCTGCAGATATTGATCACGTGTATTGAAGCGAAAACTTTCACGTACATGAAACATGATCGCGAACCACGAAGTTCCAAAGGGTTTTTTTTTCTGAAACAATAGTGAAATTCCACATAATTCAAAGTCTAAAATATGAGAAAAGTTAGATAAGAGTTCGAAAGACGACATGGCTAGAATTTTTACTTCTGTAAACTCTTATTCGTAAAAGTTAATAGAGCTCATTAGGAATATTGACTTAGAGAACAGTTGCGTAACCACAGAAAGGTCTTCTCATTGCCGGAAGCCACTACAGCTCTAAGCTCGATGACTGTTGTCCACGTTTTAGTGCGTGATACCAATTGCTGTGGAGATCAAGGTTCATGCGAGCTGGTGTGTAGGGTAATTCCCTAAAGGGTTGGACTTAACGGGAAAGAGACAGACAGCCCAAAAGTTCCCTATTTTTGGAAAGGACAGTAGTTCAAGCACCGACCAAAGATCATTAAAATGAAACGCGTGTTCACGAGAGTCCTGGCCGATGAGCGGGACAAAATTGTCCTCTGTTCGTATGGGATATTTCAGCCCTAGTACTTTTCTTAAAGAAGCAGCGCAGAGATGAACGAAGAATGACCTTACAATTTTGTTCCAGTTACGGGGCTAGGTTGTTCATAAAAGATTTCCATACCCGGTTCTCAAGATTGTGGTGAGCGAAAAATGAAATCTTAATAACAGGGCTGGCCAAGGCCTGTCATCTAAATAGAACAAATTGTGAGGGGTCTTTACAGAAACCGGGTCTGGTGGCCCTAGTACGACATTGAAATATTAATGTTTCTCCTTGCTTTATTTGTGTTTCTTTGTCTTCGGTGTCGTTAAGTAGTTGATTGCATGCTTTTTGTAGAAGGCGGAGGAAGTGAGCCCGCCTAATACACCATAATTTAATCGACCGCAAAAACCCATATAGCAGATAACGAAACGGCAAAAAGGTTAAGTGGAGTAAGCTTAATAAATCCCGGACAACTTTTGGTGTGTACTTGCACCGTCTTCTCCCTTTACGAACCCTGTTGCGTAATAAGTGTGTGATATCAAAAGGGTGTAGACGCTATCGTTAATCGAAATTTTAAAAACAAAAGGTTGTTTTTCGCTTCGCAAAAGTCACGGTTGTGCGTGATGTGCACGTGTTTTAAGGCCGGAGGGAAATGGCAAGGGATGTTATGTCATAATAGTTAGCTGCTAGACTCGCCGCTAAGAACAAACCGATTTTGCAAACATCTGCAATCGCTCACAGCCTTCGCAACAATAGACATATTCAAAAGACTTTCAAGTCGCTAGGTCACGAAATTTTGAGCCGCATTAACCGGTAGCTTGGCCCCAAGTTGTTCGAAGGGTCCATAACGCTATCCTGGATAAATTGCTATCATCGCGGATACATTTCTCTAAACCAGTCACAGAGAGAAGTAAAGTAGAACTCTTGCAATCTGTGATTACATTCGAAACTCAAGAGAAAAATTGCTCGAAATAGAGATAATGGGAAACACTGGCGGGTTTTTATCTGAACCCTTCGTGAACTCAAAGAGGGGAATCAAAGATCTGCCAAGACGCCTCCGATTTAATAAATCTTAAATATAGGTAAAGCTGAAAACTAGACATTTAGAAAACGAAAACCAAATATAACAGAAGTACAATTTATAAATTTTATTTACATTTTCCACGAAAACTACATAGTTTTTTTTAAGGAATTTCTACAAAGAGATAGAATAGAAGTATATGTTGAAAACGATGCCTTTCATCCTCACCCACCCCTCCCTAAAGAGGCCAACATGACCCTGAGTCAAACATCGCAGCCCTATGAAAGATCACGCTGAATCGCTGAATCGCTCACTCTCGTATGACGGGAAGTTCCTATTTCCAAAAGCGTTAAAACCTAACTCATCCTGTTTCCTGTTTCCTAATCAGGATAGCTACATAAAAACGACAACAAATAACAGACGGGGAGGGGGTGGGGCGAGAAAGGTAGGGAAGGAAGGTCACGGACTCTTCTCTATTTATTTCAGTCTCGCCCCAAGTCTCCACTGTCTTCTGTTTCTTTAAAACGATAAGAATTATTGAAGAGCATGTTTGAATAATGACCACAAAATAAGTAAAAATTATTCCTTTCCAATCTCAACCTAATTCTTTCATCGCCTTTTCTTGTGTCTCTTGGAATCCGATTCTTTCTTCTTGGAATTCGATTCTTTCTTCTTCTTCCGAGACGAATGCTTCTTCTTGTGCCTGGAAAACAAGGAGGACAAAATTTTATTGATACAAGTTTTAGGAGAATAGAGAAGAAAACATCTGTCGGTGGTTTTCAATTGTTTTTCAAAATCAATTCGGAAATGCATTGGTTTGCTCTTCTTAGCTCAGTGATTGGTCCAAAAATTCGTGCCACCTTCTCAACCAGTCACATGTACTGCTCAAACAAATCGTGATTTGATAACAAACGTTTTCACGCGCTTCGGCTGGTTCGCTTGTGTCTACTCTGAGTCCAGTTAGTTTGGGTGATATCGTTGTTCCTTGAATTTATTATTTACTAAGTTACTGCTTTAAAATTTTTATTGTAAAGCGCCTTAGAGCTCTAGAATAGGGCGCTATAGAATTTTTTGTATTATTATTATTATTATTATTATTATTAATAATAATATTATTATTAATATTATTATTATTATTCCTTGTTGGAAAAATTTTCCATAGTGTCAAAAGTAATTCGGGATTGCTTGGGTTCTGATTTACTTCGTTATGTGATTGGTCCAGAAAAGTCGCGCCACTTTCTCAAACAGTCCAATACAAAATTATAATCAATCGCGACTGTATCACTCTCGTTTTCCCGCCCTGCACGCAGTTTGCTCGTTTTTACTTCAAGTTCTCGTTGGCTTCTCGCGATATTTTCTTTGTTATGATTGGCTGTTGTGTTTGCTTTCCTTTTGGTTTTACGACGCTCAGTATTCAGAGTTGTAATTTCTTTGGTTTTAGTTTACGACAGTTGATAGAAATCCGCTGTTTATTGGTTGTTCATAAGTTCAAACCTGAAAGTAAGGAAGCAACAGCTTTGGACTTGCACAAACATGGCCAAATAACGCGCATTACATAAACTGAGTCTGACATGAAAAACATGTGCGTTCAGCCATTATGTTTTGAACCGTAAGACTGGAATAACTATCTTAACTCTCCGTCATAATCGTTATCGGCGAAAATTTTCGATTGCTCGTTGGTAATGCGCAAACAAATGTGTTAAGTAAAGATGAGACTGATCTTGGCAGTAAGGAAAACTGCTGTAGCGGTAGTGAAAATCAAGCCTGAAAAATACAATCAAGCGTGTACGGGAGTTGAACCCATGACCTCTGTGATACCGGTGCAGTCCTCTAACAAATGTGTTAACACACCTTTTCTTCTTACGATCATCGTCCGAGGAGTCTTCGGAAGACTCCGGAGATTCTTCGGAAGAATCTTCCGAACTTGAACTATCTGTAAAGAAGAGAGAGACGTTAAGTTACGCTATGCTAAACGAAAAAAGTCGAGAAGTCGTAAGACGAGACTCAGAGGAACCTTTCCCACGAACCTTCACTGTCGCTGTCGTCAGAAGAATCCGAATCGCTATCACTCTCACCAGGTCTCTGCTGGGACATGATCATTTTAGGAGCGTTTTTCAAATGCTCTCTCAGTTCGTCTCTAAAATAAATGCACAAAAAAAAATCTGACTTGAGTATTGACTCTTTGTTATGTCACCCATCTTTCTTATCCTCACTGCTGCACTCACTGAGATAGCTTGGGAGAATTCACGAAAGTTGTGCAAACCCCAAGACCGATTCTAACCTTCGCCCCTGGATTGAACAAATTTCCCCAAATTCATCGTGTTTACAAGACGTTCTGTGACAATTGAAAAATTCCTGTATTTGCAGATATAAAATGGTACGTACGTGATACCACCAAGACCAATTGAGGTGAAGAAATTGATTGAAAACCGAGTGTTGCGTGGATTGTCGCGGGGAAAGATTCCTTCAAAATATTGCGCCAGAAACCTAAGAAGTAAGAACAAAATATTGTTAAGACAAAGTCGAGAGAAGGTCAGATAGCCCCATTGATATCGAACAATATACTTGGAGAGTATGTTGTAGCAGTTTTCACTTCGTAAACGAGCTTCAGCTGGGCGAGTGAACTCACCATAGCAAAACTTACATCATAACACATTCAGGAACGTAGCTAGGTTTTCCAGAAGGAGGTGTCGGGGAAGGGGAGAGGGGAGGTAAGTTATGAGTTTCCGCACGCCGCACTTTTAGTAGCTTAAACCGCTGATCTTCTTTTGTTTCAGTGGATTCGTCTTCATGACGCAAGAAAGACTGGCAAATGGAGCATCTAAAAAGATTTATGCCATGAAAATTCTTCGGATACGCGCATATTCTCAAACATGAAGTAAACAATTTGTATGTTATCAAACTAGAAAATACATCTAGCATTTTTCGTTTGAGTGTCGTGGACCCAAAACCAAAGCAATTACGACGGCCAATCAGAGGGAAATCAAAGTAAAAACAACGACACACATGAAGCGCGCGAAACCAAGTAGTGGATGATTTTAGTTTGGCGACTGATTGGTTGAGGGAGCGGCGCGAATTTTCTGATCCAATCACAGAGCGAAGTAAAGCAAAACCAGGGAAATCCCGGATGACTATCGACACTCACCTGAAAATTGCTGTAAATTTCAATAAAAACTTCTTAGTACTTACGGATCTTTCAGGCGCTCGTTGAGTTTTGGAAGGCCCAAGTATTCGGCTAACTCTTGGAACAGAATCTTGATAAAAACACGGCTGCAAACATGGAATAAAGAAAACGAAGTGAGTGGAGAATTATTCTGCATGGAAATTGATACACTTCAATAAAAGTTATTCTCGTAATAGACTTCGAGCAGGTCCTCACTAGGGACCTTTAGCAAACCACGACGGCGACGGTAACGAGGACGTGGCAAAACAAAAGATCTAATAAGCAGATCAATAGCTCATCACGTGCGTTTTAACACTGTGTGCATTTCTTAGCCGTCTTCTGCAAAATAACAACGTGAAATCATCAAAATTTGCGTGGTCCGAGAAAGAAAACCCGACTGCAGATTATTTCAAGTTTTCATTTGGAACTCA